CCAAAACCCCAAAACCCCAAAACCCCAAAACCCCAAAACCCCAGTTCAAATATAATAAATTTATAGAGGTTATGGAAGAGCAGTCTTTCGCATTCATTGATGCTGTTATATTCCTGATAACTTTGCTTCTTCTGGTGTCCTTCGTGATCTTCTTGTCAATGATCATGACATATTTCAAGACTGTTGCCATGACTATCAAGACTATCCTTAAAGCAGCTTTCGAGGCTAAGTCCCCATTTTTAGCATTTAAGGATGACATTAAGCAGATTAGGCATACCAAGCTCAGAGAAGAAGCTGAAGCGAACATGAGAGATGTGGATCTTCAGGATAAATATTTCACCAAATGGACCATAATTCTGCATGAATGAGGTAGCAGAAAACGACAGGATCATGAAGAGGAAGGCCAGTTGCATAAATTAAAACAGAACAAGTATAATCTCCTGAACCCTCCCTTGACCTTCTACATATTCATATACCTATGTGGGATCATTATAGTATGGATTTGCTCAGGATTTTTCACAGGAATCTTCAATTCCTCCCTAAGGGAGAGTCTGATGCCAGGAATATTTTGGATCCCACTTCTTGTGGCTCTCATTTCAACTAGTATTATTATCATCTATGTGTATGTGATACATTACATATATCTCGAGAATATTCGGATGGCCTTCAAGAACGCCTTTTTATCAAAGGTCAACTGTCCTAAGGATTTCAAACAAGTACGATACCCTGAAGGCTATGATTCCAAGAATTTTCAGGTAGCATTTGATGAAATTTTGAAAGATTATGCTGAGCAAAGCATGAGAAATACAGCTAAAGAGTCCGAGTTTGGCAAACACGAGTCCAAGAGTCTAGCCCAGATCCTAGGCTATGAGACTACTGAAGGCTCTGGAGCCACAGAGAGCAAGATCAATGATGATAGTAAGGGCTTTCTAGCTAATTTTTAGGCTCAGCTTCCAACATTTCTACAATGAAGTTTAATAAATTTTCCATTTTGAATACAACAAAGTTGTCTGTGAAGGAAGTCAAGGAGAAGGTAAAACCTCTAAAAGATAATTTATACTTGTTTGGGAACGATACAGCCAGACCTATCATCTCAGAAGATATTCTTGAGAAAATAGGAGAGGAAGAGGACTCTAATGAAGAGCCAGAAAATATTCTTGATGGCTCAAACCCTAATATTGACAGACAAGTAGAGAAAATCGAGGAGAATAAAGAGACAGAGTATTTAGACACAGAACAAAACATCGCATCAACTGGGGACAAGCTCCTGAGACGTAAAATTAAAACGGCTGTGAAATAAGCATCTAATCAAGCCTTACCATCTTGGGGACACTGGATTGCTCCAACATGAATGAAAATAAGAAGGAAAATCTGTTAAATGTCATCTTCTTTGGCGGAATTGTGTGCTTTGTTGCAGTCTGACTTGCTATTTTGTGCTATAAAATGTATTATTATGCTACTCAAGTCACCTGGGCATTAATCTTGATAGCTATTTTTAGCATGATTTTGGAAATTTTCGTGTACAGGATCGTCTCTTGGTGGGCATATGTAATCATTCACAAGTGATATAAGAGTATTAAACAGCGAAGAAGGAGGGCTCAATACCAAATGAATAACAAGAATATAGTGAATCTCTCTGAAGATCCAAATAAATTCAAAGAGTTGTTTAAGAAATATCCAGGCAATTTCATATCTGCAGATGTGGACTACAAACCGCCCAAAAAGATAATCAATATGAACGATATCTTAGATAACCAAGGAGAGGGAGAAGGTGATAACTTTGGAAGAGGAGGTCCTTTCGATCCTGCCAATGAAGATGACCTCAGGCTTGCGCATCTCCGGAATTCTAACAAATCCGACATGGACATGGAGAATGACGACCATCCTCAGTTCAACTCAGAACTGCCTTACTTTAATGAGAGTGACAAAAGTTCCATGGCAGAGCTGCGAGACTTCAACAAATTACTGATCGATAAGATGTACACAGCTTATAATGAAAAAGCCGATGAGCTGCTTCGAAGAGGTAACCTGAAGGACATCACCAAAGAGGGTGAAGGAATCAACCAACTTGAAAAAGAACGTGAAGAGGACATTAACAGAGGTCGGAAGAACTATAACATTGCCGCTGAAGTCTTTGGCATTGCAGAAGAAAGTGATGAAGACGAATATCCTGAGAGAAAGAAATTGATCAAGAAGAAGAAAGCACATAAGACCCAGATCCCAGATACTTATTATAGAGACATTGCCATGGTCAAGGCGAGAATGGATCTGGCCAGGAAGAAGAAAAATAAAGGAGAAGCTAAGTCTGAAATGAACCAGAGTACTGGATTTAAAGGTAAATTATTTGAAATGATGTTTAGATAAATATAAAGGCAAAGGAGTGTATGCGCTGAATCAGTTAAAACCTCTTGCTAAGCAAGAGATTTATAAACAAGAAGAGCCAAAGCCAAAAATGAAACCGAAGACTCGTCAGATTCCTAGGACACAGATGGCAATAGTCCCTGGAAGTCCTCGTAAGGCTCCACAAAAAGACTACACAGAATATCCATCAACTGAGCCAATAGATGAAGGTCATGTCAAGTTCCAATCTGCTGAGAAGTCTGCTGGTGTTAGCACAAAGAGGCTTCTTCAGCTGGGTTTAACTAGCATTCAGGAACAACCACATAAGTTTGCAAGGCCAACTAGAAAGCACTCAGAGGAAGTGAAGAGTCCGAACAGGCATATCACTCATAGTCATTTAGCTGCTGTTAGAGGGAATTTCGTCGAGGAAGTCAAAGGTAAATTTCTAATGATCCTCTGTAGATGGAGAAAGCACAGAATCTGTTCCTCTAAGCAAGTCCTTTGGTGCAGAAAAGGAAAGAAACAGGTAAAAGCATATGCTTAATCTGTAGGAATCCAGGTATCTACGTTGGCTTGATTGAATCATTTGAAGGTCAAAGGAGGAGAGATAAGGAAGCTAGCGTAAACATACCCCAAAGTGCTAATAGTTTCAAAGATTTTAGGTAAGTAGTTCCCGACTTAATGTTTTCCTCAAAAATTATTCTGTACTATTTGGCTTTAATTTCTGCTATATCAGTTTGTTTAAGAAATGATAAATCTTCCAATGAAACTATTCAGCTTAACCAATTATTACAGCGACGATTTTGCTATAAGTTTCCATCATGAAGAGACTAAGAAATCTCCAAAGAAGCGAAGACAACTTAGTGGAGAGAAGAAATTGGACTACAAGTTATCAAAGAAGAGGAAAATCCCAGTAGATCCAGAGCTGAAGTTCCACCCGGCCACTAACCAAGATCTTGACCATGTAAGAGCTTATTAATGACTTCTAGATCTATGGAAAGGTTTATGACCCTTTTGTCAAACACAACGTGGGAGCAGTGTGCCAGATCGACAAAGAAGTCAAAGGTAACCCTGCTGCTTAACTCTCTAGAGCGGAAGCTGAATAATTACTTAAGGAATATTGATGAGGACAAGAACGGTATTTTCTTATTCGGGAACGATGTTAACTCAAAATTCGACTTTAATCCTAAGAAAGAGAAAGCGATAGCCCCTGCATCACATCTAGACATGAGTTATTCTGTAGCTCCCCCTTCATACATAAAGATTGTGGGTAAAAAGAAGAAGAAAAAGACTAAGAAGAAAAAGCAGAAAGTCAAGAGACAGCATCTAGCTGTTGATGATTTTGTAATAATTTAAGGTAATTCATAAATTCAATTTGAAAGCTTTGCCTTGGGGTTTTGGGGTTTTGGGGTTTTGGGGTTTTGGGGTTTTGGGG